TGCACACGGGGGACAAGGACTCCATCCTCTTCATCCGCTCGTCCCAGCGCTCCGACTCAGGCCGCTATGAACTCACCGTGCGGCTGGACAACCTGGAGGCCCGGGCCGCCATCGACATCCTGGTCACAGGTACGGGGCCGGGGAGGCCGGGATCTCTCTCACCAGGGGCCCAGAGAGCCCCCACCTCCCGCCCCCAGAGCAACGCTCGGGCAGCCAGACCAGGGGAGAGCGGTGGGGACGGGGCCTCGGGCGAGGGCTGGTGGCAAAGCCAGCCCTCCACCTCACCCCTGGCACCCGGGTCCTGCAGAGAAGCCGGGGCCTCCCAGCAGCATCAAGCTGCTGGACGTCTGGGGCTGCAACGCTGCCCTTGAGTGGACACCGCCCCAGGACACAGGCAACACGGAGCTCCTGGGCTACACGGTGCAGAAGGCCGACAGGAAGACAGGGGTGAGCCCCCGGGGCGGAGCGGGAGAGGGGACTGGGCGGGAGGGGCGGTGGCCCAGGTGGCCGGGAAGGCCCAGCCCGTGAGAGTCCAGGGACTCAGTCCCGGGCTGCCCACCACGAGCCTGACTCCCGCCACTTTGGAAGGTTGCTCTGGTCTCTGGGCCTCGGTTTCCCCCTGAGGACCCCACGGGTGGCAGCCGGGGGCGGTGCTCTCCGAGGCCCTCCAGGCTCTGCATGGGATTTCTGGAAATTTCACGAGCCTCTGAATCACTGGGGGCTCCTGCTAGAATGAAGGCGGTAGTCCAGGAGGTTCAGGGCGAGGGCTGAGGACTCAGAGGCTGCCCACCGACTCTGCACTTGCTGGCCCTCGGGCCGCACTCTGGGCCTGAGGCGCAGGATCCTCTGAGGGCCCCAGCGAGGTCACCTGAATGCCCCAGGGCCCCTTCTCCCAGTTGAAAGTCTCTGAGCCCAGGCCAGATGCTTCGGTCTCCCGGGCTGGAGCAGTGGGTGAGCAGGGGGGCGAGGGGGGCTGAGGGCCTGGGTGACCGGGACCGGTCCCGCAGCAATGGTTCACCGTGCTGGAGCGCTACCACCCAACCACCTGCACCGTTTCCGACCTCGTCGTGGGCAACTCGTACTCCTTCCGAGTCTTCTCGGAAAACCTGTGTGGACTCAGCACCTCGGCCGCGGTCACCAAGGAGCTTGCCCACATCCAGAAGGCAGGTGGGTCTAGGCCTGGGCCTGGGCCCGGACCAGGAGGCAAGCGGCGCTGACCCTCTGTCCCCACCTCCATCCCCAGTTTCCCTTGGTGTGCCAGCCGCCCTCCCTGAGGGCTTCTCGGGGATGCTGCTCCCAGGACAGGGCCGCCTGTCCAAACCCGTGTACGCCGTGCACAGATACACACCCACGCACAGCTGAGCACACGCCGCTGCAGAGAGACAGACGAGGTGGGCTGCTAGAACGAGCACGCCAGGGCACCACCTTGCCCACAGGAACGGTCCCTCGGGAGACCGTGTCTTCCTTCCGTAGTGGCTGACCTCAGAGCAGCCATTGGGCTTCACAAGTGCAGTCCCAGGGCCAGCCTGACGGGCAGTGTGCGGGTGGACTCCGGCCAGTCTGCTGAAAGCGCAAACCTCCCAACCCTGACACACCACCACAGAGACGGACGGGGAGACGCGGTGTTTATTGTCTGCACACGGGGCGTGGCCCCTCAGTCACACGTGAAGTCCCACGCCCCTTCACCCTCACTCTGAGGGCCCCAGGGCCCCCCCCCCCACGCAGAGTCTGTGCCGGCTCCAGGAGGCTCACCCTTTCTAACACCAGCCTGAGCCGCACAGAATTAGGAAGAAATTTTTAGTTAAAAAAGGAAAGCCAGTCAGATCTCCAAAGACAGTGGAAATGAAATGCAGTGTCTCTGGGCTGCTGGTCTCCACCTCAGCCAAGATCACCTCCACCTTTGCTCCCCGTCTCCCCTCTCTGCTCCCATCCCCGGCCCACCTGGGTCTCAGGTGCCCTGTGCCTCTTTGAGACCTTCTGTCCTACGTGCCCGCCCACTGGCCGTGCCTGGCTCCCCAGCGATCCCTGGAGGCTGAGGCCTTCCTCCAGGCCACCAGCGTACCGCCTGGACAGCTGTGCTCCACAGGAGATGACACCTAGATGGGAACTTACTGTTTCAGGAGAAGGGTCTCCTCCTGTAACCTCAGATTCACCCCATTTTCTCCCCAAACCCAGATACTACTACCAAACTTAAAAGGTTTGTTGCAAGAGACTTCTCAGAAGCCCCCTCGTTCACCCAGCCCCTGGTTGACCACACCACCACCCCTGGCTACAGCACCCAGCTCTCCTGCAGTGTCCGAGCTTCTCCCAAGGTGAGGGCTGGGGCCCTTCGGGGCAGGCGGACTGAGGACTCTGGCCGGGCATCTCCGCCAAGGCCTGAGGACGCATTGGAGGCCCTGTCCCAGCCCGCAACCGTCCCAGCCGCCTGTGACCATGTCCCCCCAGCCCAAGATCATCTGGATGAAAAACAACATGAACATCCAGGGGGACCCCAAATACCGTGCCTTCTCTGAGCAAGGCGTCTGCACCCTGGAGATCCGGAAGCCCAGCCCCTTTGACTCCGGGGTCTACACCTGCAAGGCCATCAATGTGCTGGGGGAGGCAACTGCGGACTGCCGGCTGGAGGTCAAAGGTGAGGGCTGGAGGAGGGTCTCTCCTTGGGGACCTGTCGGGGTGAGCAGGAGATGCCCCCTCCCCTCCCGCTGGGCTGGAGGAGGCTGAGCCTTGAGAGGTAAGGCAAGGCTGCGGGGTAGTGAGACCACTGCGGCCTGGGTGTCGGGAAGGCAGCCCAGGGTGGGCAGAGGGGCTGAGAGTCCCCCGGACTGTGGCCCTGAGCCTCTCTGGCTCTGCCGCCACCAGTCTGGTCCCCAGAGGACCCCTCGCCCTGGCCCAGCTCTTACACGTGGTGTCTCTCCCAGCCGCAGCCACACACTGAACAGCGCTGGAGGCGGCTGTGGTGAGGACGAAGGTAACCGGCTGGGGCGCCCCAGGGACACAGCCCCCGGGGGAGCTGGCAGGCAGGGCCCTGCTGGGGAGGCTGGGAGGGCAGTGACTCGCTGCACGGCCTGGTCCTGGCTCCGAGTGACCGGAGGCCAGGGTGTCCTCTTGGACCTGTGTCTGTCTGGTCAGGAAAGTGGGGCCGACAACCTTCCCTGCCTCCCCTGCAAGGTGAGGCTCTGGACACAGAGGAAGTGGGCAAAGCTCAGGCCCGGGAAGGAGAGAGGGGCCCGCTTCCCCCACGGGAGCTCATGAAGCGTGTCCTCTGCCAGGTGCTCTGGGCTTGAGGGGTCGGGGCCGCCAGGCCGAAAATCAAGCTCCGCGGACGCCCCAGACCCCCGTTTCCAAAGTGACCGCTGATGGCTCTGCTCCCTGACATCAGCCCAGCCTCCCTCCCCCGAGGCTGGAGCCCGGGACCCAGGAGGGGCCTGGCAGGCCCGGCCCAGCTCCCCGGGCACCAGGCCCACGGTCGGTTGGTCAGAGCTGCAGGCTGGGTGAGAGGCACTCAAATAAAGGTGTGCGTGTCACCGCCGGGTCTCTGCAGCAGTGATCTGGGACAGTGGCCGTCGTCGCAACGGGGTGGCACCGTGTCCCTGCGAGGGGGGGGGTTGAGCTGTCACCAGAGGGGGTCTCCACACACAACCCCTTGAGGAAGGTCCAGTGGGAGGGGACTGGAGAGTTCTCGGGGGCTTTCCCGACGTGAGCTTTTGCGGGGTCTGGTTTCCTGGGGTTTGCTGCCCCAGGGTAAGAATTGTGACAACAGACACACCTTTCTCTGGCCCCTCCTTCTCCGAGAGCCTCCGCGTCACCCTGCTCCCCACTTCTGGGCCCTCACTTTGCATCCCCTCCGCCACCGAGACTGTCAGTTGCCCCGCATGGGGTGGACCCCCAGTCTTTGGGCCCCCCCAGTCAGGGGGCCTCCCTGGGAGTCAGGGCACAGCCTGCCTCTGAGGAAGGGTGGGCCTGGAGTCCCTGTTCACGCACAGAGTCCCACCCCCACCGCCCCTCTGGACAAGGGACTTCGGGGTTGGTAGGGGGTGCCCTTGCCCAGACACCCTAAAACCCTAGACTCTGCAGCAGAGCCCCAAGGGCCCTGAAAGCCAGGCTAAGTGCAGGGGGTGCCGTGGGCATTTAGAGGCCAGCAGCACCTCCTTGCCCACACCCTCAGGAGGGCGGCCCCTCTGGGCTGCCCCAGCCTGCTGTATCTCACCCCAGGGGGATCCACAGTCAGCCACGTCCCTTGTGCACCCCCTCACCAGACAGGCACGATGGTCCCACGATTTGGCAGGTCTCCATCAGGCCCAGAAGCAGCAGCAGTGGGTGTCAGGAGAGTCCAGGCCCCTCTGCGGACTGGTGGCCCAGAGGGACAGGCAGCCACAGTCCAGGCTGCTGCTGGGCACTCAGTGCTGCCACCTGGTGGCCGTGGGAGGCCCACAACACACTCCACACTTGCTCCAAAGGCTAGTGCAGAATAAAGCAGATATTGGAAGAGATCTCTGGACTTGCTGTTTCTGCCTCCTTCCCAAGAATAAGCCTGGGCTGCCCTAAGCAAGGACGGCAGGCACCCTGGGAGGCAGGGACTCAAGATGCTCACTTCCGCCCCTCAGCGGCTCTGGCCACTTTCTCCTGCAGACGGGGGAGAGAACGAGGCACTCGCTCCTCTCCTTTGCTCGTCTTGCAGGGGATCCCTCCCCTCCTGCAGCTTGGTCATAGGGTTGCAGGGCCCCCACTGCTAAGATGGGGCCCCTGCCCCCCAGCCCCACCCACGAGGCCTCTGTCTGAAGCCAGGGCTGCCCGTGGGAACAGGCACGTGGGGAGGCAACAGCCACCTTCCTCCTCCTTCAGGTGACCCGCTCCTTCCCCGTGGACTGCCCCCCAACCCCCTTGCCAGACCCAGAGGCGCAGGGCTCCCACGCCCCACAGCCAGGCCGGGGAAGGCTCGGCGGGGGGCAAGTGGGATGGTGGGCAGGCGAGGGCCGCTCTGAGGTGCTCCAGCGGCGGGCAGACGGGGTCTAGTCATCCGGCCTCTCCTCCGGGGGGTCCTCGTCCTTGGGGGGGGCCGGCTGGCCGCAGAAATGGTCGTTCCAGATCTTGAGGAAGGTGACCCGGAACTTCTGGATGCGGAAGGCGTAGACGATGGGGTTCATGGCCGAGTTGCCGTGCGTGAGGAAGATGGCGATGTAGATGAGGAGGCTGGGCTTGCGGCAGGAGGGGCAGAAGAGGGTGATGCAGTTCAGGATGTGCAGGGGCAGCCAGCTCAGGGCGAAGAGCAGCAGGATGAGGGCCAGTGACTTGGCGATGCGCAGCTCCTTCCCGTAGTACTTCTGCGGGTCGCCGGCGGAGGCCGACACCTTCTTGCTGAGCTGCCGGCGGATCAGGTAGAAGACCTCCAGGTAGATGAGGACCATGAGCAGCAGCGGGGGCAGCACCCAGACGAAGAAGTTGAAGTAGACCATGTACTCCATGCTGATGACCTTCTCGAACTCACACTTGATCACGGGCTCGCCCACGCTGCCGTTGGCCTCCCAGGCCCGCTGCACCGCGCGCAGGTTGTTCCAGCCAAACATGGGCGTCAGGCCCACCACGAGGGAGAGCAGCCAGCAGCCGGCGATGGCCACCGCCGCCCTGCGGGGCGTCACCACCGTCTTGTACCTGGGGGTGGGGGGGGACAGAGTGTGAGCACCTGCGAGGCTGACCCAGCCCCACGGGAGGCCCTGCCCGCTGGGGCCCAGGCTGCAGGGGTGCGTGTCTGTGGCGAGAGACAGCACACGACTCCGGGGCCTAAGATTAAAGGCAGCTCGGCTCACCTCTCCTGGGGAATGGAGAAAACCCTAACAGAAAGCAGAGGACGCCCCTTAGGGGTTTTAATGAAGTTACCGAGGTGGGAGTCTCTCGGGCCTGTTACCCCCACCCCTGCAATCGCATCACTGTTGCACGACAGCCCTCGCTGCGGGGAGGAGCGCTGGCACATGAGGAAATGGAGGTTCCGAGCGGCCGTGTGAGCTGCCAGGGCCACGCGGAGGGAGGCCGTGTGGCCCCGTGCTCCCCAGCACATCCACACGGGCCCCCCAGCTGCTGGCCCACAGACCACCTTCCCCTCCACCGAGGCGGCTCTCGGGAAGCACTGCAACCTCCTCCAGGCTCCGTCCACTCTCCCAGATACCCACCCCCCCATCGCCTGCCGCCTCCTCTCCCCTCCTCCCCTCCTGGCCACTGCCCAGGGCTCCTCTCCTGAGGGCAGGATCTCAGGAACCGGCTCCGCACACCCAGGCGACTTGGGAGTTGTTCTCCGGAAAGAGGCTCTGGATGCCCCCCGAGTCCCCACCCCATGTGGGGCCCCCTCGGCCAGCGGACGCCGCCGTGAGCCGTGGGTCCCAGGCCCACCCTCTGCAGGGGGAGATATGGACGCCCTGTGAGGCTCACATTCCAGGAGAAGGCTCGGACGACACTGAAGAAGGGACGTAACTGCAGGTTGTCCCGTGTCCTTGGAAGGAAATGCAAGGGCGGTGCCCACGGACAGGGCTGCTGGGCTTTCCAGGCCGTGACGCACAGACGGCGGCGGAAGCCCCAGGTGACGGGAAAACCGGTGAGGCGCCCACGGCCGGTGATGGCCCCGCGCCCCACAGAGGGCTCAGTCTCGCTCAGTGTCCCTGCTTCCCGCTATGCAAACCCTGCCAGCAGCCAGCGCACACTCAGGCCACACTCAGGCCTCCGCCGAGGAGCTGCTCGGCCCAGCAGCCTCGGCCACGGGTCACTGTTTCCCAGCACCCCTCACAGACGGAGGGGCGGGCGCCCCACTGAGCCGGCACGCAGCTGCCGAGACCTGAGGGTGGGAGGGGCCTCCCTCCAGCTGCAGTTCCTGCCCCGTGCCCGCGGCTTTGTCCTTCCCAGCAACGGCCCCTAGGTTCCTCTCCTCCCGGAGGCCTTCCCATCCACCGGCGCCCGCTGTCCTGAGAAGGCTTCTCCGGAACGGAAGGGGCACCGTGGGGGTGGGAGAGGTCAGGTCCCTTCCCTGCCCCACGAGCAAGGCAGGTGAGCTGGATGGGGCCTCGGGAACCTCATATCCAGTTTCCCCCCCTTTCCAGTGAGGGCACTGAGGAGCCCAGTGGTTCCCGCACCCGTGGCGTGGGCTGCCCACCCCTCCCCTGTGCGCCTCCCTGAGGTTCTTTTCATCCGGACCCTCGTTTGCTGCTGTGACTGAAGCCCAGTCCCTCCCGCCGAGTCCTGGAGGGAGAGCCAGCTCACATACTGTAACCAGAGACTGGATCACGTCTCCGACTCGGGGAGGACCAGGTGACACGTGGCCACCTGTGCCTGGGCCCCTGAGAGGTTCCGGCCCAGGAAACCTCGGGGTGTCCGCATGCTCCGGCAAACACCAGGCTCGGGGCTTGTTACCGGTGCCCCAGGGCTCCGCAGTGTCCCAGCCGTGCGTCTAGGGCCAGACCCCAGGAGCCAGGCCACTCCACGAGGGAGGGGAGCCGAGGGGCTGGGGCCCCAGGGCGGCCTCGGCTGCAGGTCCATGTCCCATCCACTGCTCACAGCCCTCTCACATCCGCGCCTTGGGGGCCCGTAACGGGCTGTGAGGAGCCCAGCTCCAAGGTTACAGACTCCAGGCCCGACAGTGGGCCAGTGGGCCAGCCCGTGCCCAGGGCTCCCGGCCCCAGACCAGCTCTCCCTCGGGGCGGCAGGCTCACTGTGGGGCGTCTGGACACGAGTGGCTGGGAACGTCCGTCTCCTGCAGGCTCTGAAACAAGACCATCTGGACCCGGTTCAGACGTGGGGGCGATGGTGACACCCAGCGAGAGGAGTGGGTGCCGACAGCGTCCCAGGCGGGAGGAGGTGGCGACTTGCAGCTGGGAGGTGCCCCTCCCTCCTCCCGTCCTGCCCGACTTCCTGGAGCCCCTGGGTCACGGCGTCCCTGGGGCTCCTCCAGGCTGGGTCCCAGCAGACCCTGCAGCTCAGGGTATCAGCTCCCATCTGTTTTTCTTGCTATTTTCTCCGCGGTGGGAAAGGCTGGACACAGGACCTTGGCTGAGGTGGGGCAGGCTGTGGCAAGACGGGCCGGGCAGAAGCCCACCTTGTCCTCACGCCCAAGAACACTGGACGCTGGGCATCCTGGGTGCACGTGGGGTGGGGCGTGTTGAGTGAGCCTCCCACACTTGGGGTGTCCCTCCCGAATGGGGCACAAGCCCTCACCACCTCCGAGGCTGCACTGGGAACGAGCCAGTGAGGCGGCTGCCCTCAGGAGGGAGTGGTCTCAGGCTGACGTGGGTGGGGCCGGGGGGGGGGCAGCCAAATGCAGGCAGTGACGCTGCAAGGGGGAAGCCCCTTAAGGACACCACTGAAGGGACCAGGGGCACCCCACCTCCAGCACCTGCCCCCCGCAGGGGGGGGCTAAGGCCCGCCCACCACTGGAGAGACAGCCCTTTGCGCGTGGTGCTGCCCCTCAGTGTGCAAAGGTAACACAGCTCCAAAGGCATCAAGCAACCCTTAGTCAGTGTCTTCCGCAGGTGAGACAGTGGCGACGTGGTGGCATGGGGTGTCGGGGGCAGTGGGGGGCACAGACTGTCCGGGGCAGAGGCAGAGGCTGAAGAAAAGATGGGCGGGGTCCCTGCTCCCGCCTGGCGGGACAGGCGGGTGTTTGAGTGCTGCCTGGCGCCGGAGCGCGCGCACACACGCCTGTTCAGAGGTGCGGGCGAGGGAGGAAGGCTGCAAACCCTGGGTCTGAGTCGGGCCAGGAGAGGGCGCTCTGGGGGCTAAGGGAGGGGCCGAAGAGTCACAGTCAGCGGATGGACACAGCAAGTGAAAAGTCTATTCCGTGACAAACTGAGGTGACGCAGTGGAGCACTGACGGCCCCCACGTGAGGACGGAGAGGCGGCAGGTGCTCGGTCGGAGAGGGTCCGTGCGCAGGCGGAGCCAGAACCCGGCGGGGGGGGGGCGGGGGGCCCGCCGCTGAGTCAAGCTGCGGGTCCCTGCGCGGGTCCTGCCGCCTAAGGCTGCTCCGTGCCCCCAGGCCACCAGCGGCTCCAGCGGGTCCCGGCACTGCGGCCGGGGCCCCGTGCTGCCCCCGCGCGGTGCGAGACCCGCGGAGGCTTCGGCCGGACGGACGCAGCCCCCAGGCCCCGCCCCACTGCACTCTTGCGGCCTGCAGCCCAGAGAAGCTGGGTCTCCGTCTCGGGCCAGGTCCCAGCAGGGGCCGTGAGCGCCCGCCGGAGCTCCGCATCTGTCCTTCGCCCGTGAATAGGCCCCTTTCATGGATGAGGTCACTTCCAGTCGGGGCCGCCGGGCACAGAGCGGAGGCCTCTCCCTGCCTGCCGCCTCCAGGCTCACTCGGAGGACTCAGGCTGCAGCCTCCTCAGCACAGGAAAGGCCGGGAAGGCCAGCGGGTGCCCCGCGGGCCGAGGGACCTGGGCAGGAAGGCGCATCGGGGGCGGACAGGGGCCTGGGCCCTGAAGCCCCGCTCTGCCTCACTGGGGCGCTGAGCCCTCGTGGGGGCCTTTCCCGAGTCAACTGGGTCCCCGGGAGGCCCTGCAGTGCCAGAGGGAGGGGCCAGGGGCCAGGGTACCTCCTCCCCCATCACCGACGCCCATGGGTGTCGGGCAGGAGCCCTGTCTCCTCCTTGGCTCCACCACCCACAGACAGGCCCCCACAGCCCAGTGGCGGCCAGCCCTGGGCCCGCCAGCCCAGGGTGGGGGTCGCTGGCCGTGGTTGCTGATCTCTGGGTGACCCCCCTCTCCCGAGCGGCACCTCCAGCGCTTCATCCCCTGGGTGCCCGGGTTCTGGCAGGAAAGGCCGTCCAGGCTGTCAGCCCCTCGCTGACGTCCCCGCTCCTGGTCAGCCCCCAGGGGCTCGGGAGCAGCACCGCAGAGGGAGGAATGCAGCCTGGCTGTCACTCGGAGAGCACGGACCGGCCTCTTAACACACGCGTGTCGACCCGGAAGGAGACAGGCAGACGCCCTACAGTGGGCTGCAGGCAGCGTGGCGGAGCATCCAACCCACGGCTGGCACCCGGGTACGGTCCCCAAGCCAGGCGTCCACGTCCCTGTCACGGGCTCCTCGCTCAGGCCCTGGCCCAGGACTGGGCGGGGGCGCCAGAGGGCTCAGCACCCTCTGTGGTCACGTGGCCGGGATGGCTGAACCCCTTTCCCACGGGGCTGAGGAGGGCATTTCACGGCTGCGGTCCCCTCCTTCCTGCCTCCTTTCTCAGCCACTTGTAACTGGAAACTTGGATGCCAAGACCGGGGAAGTAAGGTTTTCAGACCATTAAACTGCTTCCTGCAGAGAAAGTCTTCCTCCCAGAGGAGAACAGGAAACCAGATACAATCACTCCAGGGGCCAGAGATGTAACAGTAACTTTACCCAGAGGAGTCTGGATGAAGGGCCAGGTGGGGCACGGGAGGCCAGGACGTCTGGGTCTTAATGACCCTGCTTTGAATCTTGCTGCTTTGGGGCCTGTGGCATCGCCCACCAGCTGGGACTGTCATGCCCCGTGTCCCCAAAGGGGACGTCTGGGCCCCGGGCCAGCCTGCAGAGCTGCCAGCGGAGGAGGGACCCTGAACTCTGAGAGAAAGGACCCAAGTGAGTCCATGGGGCTATTAGCATTAGGAGCATCGGAAATTGCTGCTGGTGACTCTGAGGACCCTCCCCGCCT